CCAGACATCTGATGACAAGTATCATGTTTGTACAGTGGGGATGACACAGATCTGTCTGCCACCTCGCTGTGAATCATTTTCACAGCCCCCCCCCCCCAGTTTGAAGCCATGCAATGTCACCGATGTTACTGATTTCTTGGTTTGACAAAATGGAAAACTGATATTTTGAGAGTTTAATAAATGTAATATTGGCAGGTTTTGCATAAATGAACCGACAAGGCTTTTGTAATTAAATGAAGCTCAAGCAGAGCTGTTCATGTATAAACATGGTTCAAAGTTTTTGCTTAAGGGTCGAGGCAAATTTATTTCTACCGTTGCAATTAAAATAAAAGGTTGGAGTTGCGCTTAAAAAAATAGATAAGAGAAGCTGTTAATCACTCGGTTGAACGTGTTTTGGAGTTGACGTGTAGATATCAGCTTCTCTTCTGTCCTCGCTGTCTCTTCCTCGTCTGGTGTTCAGGGTGGTGGCAAGATCACATTAATTTGATTTACCTCCTTCTGTACGCTGTCAGTGTCAGCTGTCCTCTATATGTGGCTGTTTGTAAGTGAGCTGAGCTCTACGAGGAAGAGTTGCTGATGCTCCTGAAATCAAATCTGTGTCAGGATTACCCCTCACCTGTTACCAATGAACACTTTATTGGAGAGAACACAGACCTGTATTTGTTGGCATCCTTGCAGTGGGAACACACAAACATACCTCACACTCGGGGACATACCTCTGTGTGTCCGGGGAGTCGTCGTCGTCAATCTATTTCTGCATCTCCGACCTGTGCAGGAGAAACAAGACATATCAGTGTTGTAAATTCTTTTGGGACCAAAAGTCTTGAAGCTGACCACGCTTCTTTCTTCTTTTTATCCATAATGGACAACTCACACTGGCCCTGCTCAGGCTCACAACCAACACACAGCGCCAGCAGGCTGCCCCGTCGACCTTGGAGCAGCTTCAAGCAGACTAGGGCCAGTGTCCCTTCAGACAAAACCCAACAGATGCACTGAAGCCGACATCACAAAAAACAATTCAGGACGGACATTTGAAATGTTCTGCTTCACACATAAACACATGTTCAGATCTAAATATAAACACGCCTTCAGCTCGGGAGTTCAAATCTGGTGTGTCAATTTGATTTTCTCTCATTTCTCTTTGTTCTTGTATCTGTTTCTGCAAGGTTTTATTTTCCCATGAAGTTTAATTTGTAATGTAGCATTAACTTCACCAATGACTATAGCTGCCAAACACTTGTATTGTAAGCTGTGAATTAGAAATATTACAGTATGCTTTGTGTTTTGTCAATATTTTTTATGTGTCCTTGAGATTTTGTCCAATTCTGAACCCTGTAACTTTTAACAGTAAAACTATTAATTAAGAACAGAAATAAGTTTAGATCCAGATCCACCTCACAGCATAGAACAAATTAATTTATAAAATCATGAACTGATTTACATTTGAGTAAATGAAATGTCATTGCTATGCCGTAAACAATTCACAATTTAATGTTTCAATATCAGCTTGTGCAGTAAATATGTCACTGTCAAAGCTCCTCTTTGAATCTTTAACTGAGACAAACTGATGTAAGACTATATAACATCAATGTCGTGCAGTGAAGGTGCTTTTACACAACAGTTTGCTGTGTAAAACCTAAAAAAGAGAGAGTATAAACAGATGGTAAGACCCATTTTTGTGCAGTTCTGTTTCTGAGTCTCTCTGTGCACTGCTCCCTGCTCTGTCTTTTCTGCAGCTCCATCATGCAGCCCTCTAATAGTGGATTAGTCTGGGCTTGTAAATGTTGTAAAGCTCTGAGAATGAACATCAATCTCTCAGTTTAATGAAAAATAACTTGGGACAGACCCCAACGCCATCTTTCCCTCTGTCTCTTTCAAACAAAGTAACACATGCACTTTCTTTCCTTTATACCAAAGCACCTGACAGCCACAGCAACTATAAATTATCCTGTCATGTAGCCGCGTCAGCCGACGTCACCATCAAGGATGATGTATTTTACTTTGGAAAATTAGCCAGAGGCAAAAGTGCACACTGTGTTCCGAGGGGCGACTTCACTGTTTAGGCAAAGGGAAAGAGAAAAGTTGCACAGTGTAACACACACACACACACACACTCATACAGGCACATCCTGCCCTGTTCCTCCAGACCAGTGCTGGCACTACACATCCTCAGGCCTGCCTTGGCTGGTGGTTTGATAAATTGGCCCTTTCATCTCGTCGATGTGCATTGTGTCAGTTGGTGCGTGTGTATTAGGATCTGCGAGTGCATGCTTGTGTGTGTGTCTGCCTGGGTACATTGTCTGAGCTGTGAAGTGTTTGGCTTCCTCAATGAGGGCTGCTGTCACAGCCTCTGAAAGCATGTAATAGGCGCCCATTCTCCTGGAATGAATACACATCTATACACGAGCAACAAAATGTGGCATTTCAAAAAGACTTGGGATAATCGAACAGAAAAATTATGAAAAGGGGCATACCAATGCCATTCCTTTCAGCTAAGCTCTAAATTTGGTGCATATGATTGCTTTGGGAAGTGTCTGCAGTACACAGTGAATTAATGCCATTTCTGATAGATCAAGGGTGGTCATTGTTGGCTGTGCAAAGCATTCTGGCACCGCGTGTGGGGTTTGTGTGAGTTGGACCATGATTCACGGCTGTGTAATGTTGTCTTGGTTTGATTGGGATTCAAAAGCAACTGTTTATTTCATTCAAGCTCTTTAGAAACACTCTTCCTGAAATATGGGTTCATTTGCAGTGATTTGGTTTCACTGAGATAATGATTTGCAGAACCTGCCAGTTTTAACACAAGTGTGTCCTGAAGGTCTGTGTTGAGACGCAGACCTACAGTGATTTTCTGCAATCACCATCATACTGTAGCTTGACTGATAACGAGACTGTATCTTGCTTTCAGGTCCTCGGTGTAGCATCAGTATGCAGGACATCAAAGTAAGCCACAGGAAACACGAGCCACTGTGGAGATATTTACTTCGGTTGGGTACGATAGTGGGTATTCTTATTATATTGTTGGCTCTGTAAAGAGCTGGGTAACAGTGAAAATATTCCCTGAGCGCAGTGTGATGTATTCTAGTTGCTGGTTTTGACGAACTGACAGTCGAAAGCTCACATTCATTCAGCACACAGTGAAACAATACTGAAGAAACCAACTAGTTCTTATATTTGACAATATGCAACCAGCAAATGCATCATATTTTTGTTTGATATACAAAAAAAACAAATATTCAAATTAATATTAAAGCTCCAGGCAAATGACCAGTTGTTTCAGCACTTTAAAAAAAGCCATAAAGCATAATTGTACTATCCCTGACCGAAAATAGCACAGGAGAATTAACACATCTAAACCTCTGTGGGAATCCCTTGGCAACCTCTCCAGGAAACGTCACTGTCCCCAGTCAAATGCATGCTGGGAAAATGGTGCCGAAACTTGCAATACGCATGACACCATTCATAAGAATCAGGGATGAGAGGCTGATGAACAACCCTTTAAATATGTAGAACAGAAATTACCTTGTTGTTATAGGTTGCATTCAATCTTTGACTTGTAAGCAAAGTCATCAGAGAATGGTTTTCTCTTCCTGGTCAGTTTCATTAGCAGGATTACGCAAAACTACTACTAATTTGGAAATTTTGCGGAGGGGTGAGGCATGACCCAAGGAAAAAATGTTGGTGTAGATCCGGATCAGGGGGCGGATTCATGAATTGTTTTTCACTTTCTTCAACATTGTGAGATTTTTCAACATCTTCCTGAATTTCTCAGAGAATAATTCATGGATCTTGATTTAAATCAAATGTGACAGATATTTATGAGTCATCCAAATGAAAATCTGGATGAAGTGAATTTAAATATGATTTCATTAAGTCCAATTCATGCTTCTGCACCACAGCCTACATGTAGACGTGTACCCTGTGCAGAGCTCTACGCCGTACCCTGACGTGCACCTCCCCAAAAATGGAACTATGCAACGAGGTGACGCAGACCGCAAGAGCTGTGATTGGTCTGGTTGGTAGCATTGCATTTCTGTCAGACTCGCCACCATTTTCAAATTGAGTTGAATGTGGACGGCGTCTTTCTTTTCTTCATCTCAGTTCTTTAAGAAAAAGTAATTGTAAATAAGTGGACCAGAAACTGCAAAATGTGCTCCACTGCGGCTACATCCATAGTACTACATTTGAAACTCTAACAGGACGGCAGTATTTCCACACTGCTCTGTTTGAGCAGCTCTACAACTCAGGAGTAATGTGACACCATATCTGTGGCAGAGTTGACATGCTTTCAGAGGAAAATGCCATTGTAGATTTTTTAAGAAACTTTAAGTATAAAACTATCAAACTTCAGGGGCTGAGGATGAATTGAATCCTGTGTGTAATACTGAGCATCACAGACATGCAAGTCCCCACATTACTAATATACAGGTATCATAATAAAACCCTGGCAGAGTGTAAACTGTCAAGGATATTGTGCACAAATACTGAGTCCGGCTTCTACTGCCTAGTGGGGACACTACCATTAATATCACAGGGATGACTTGAGAGTGAAATTGCGCGCGTGTCTGTTCATTTTTATGTAAGCTGATCTTCGTGTGGGAGCTGTGTGTGTGTCAGTGTGTGTGTGTGTGTGTGTGTGTGTGTGTGTGTGTGTGTGTGTG